CGCGGAGTATCTGTGGAGCTGGATGGTGAGAACTGGCGACTTTCTAGTACAACTTTAGTACGCGGAGCAATCTGTAGAGCTGGAAGCTGAGAACTGGCGACTTTGTAGTACAACTTTAGCACGCGGAGTATCTGGCAAGCGGGACGATGAGAACTGGCGACTTTGTAGTACAACTTTAGCACGCGAAGTATCTGGCAAGCTGGACGATGAGAACTGGCGACATTGTAGTACAACTTCAGCACGCGGAGCAATCTATGCAGCTAGAAGCTGAGGACTGGCGACTTCGTAGTACAACTAGAGTTGTACTGGCGAACAGTGTAGTACGCGGAGGAGTCATCTCTCGCTGCTCATTCATCTCTCGCTGCTGAGTCAGCTCTCGCTATAGCCATCTCTCGCGGCTGAGTCATCTCTCGCGACTGAGTCATCTCTCGCTGCTGAGTCATCTCTCACGGCGTGCACGTTCAGTTCATACTGATAGTATTTGGTTGCAGTTATGCAGGACAGGACATTCAACTGCTGGTCAAGACACCACTCGTCATACACCACTCAACATACACCACTCATCATTCATCACTTGTCATACACCCCTCATCATACAAGACTCATCATACATAGTCTCAGAGTTCAAGACAGATTTTACATTCAAATTCGGATTCCATTCAGTCCGATGTGTGATATGCAAGGTTTGCCGCCACTGAAGAATGCCACGGTGGGATGTGTGTGTCGATGTGGACCGCATCCTTGGCAAGTTGAAGTTTGTGGCATACTCTCGCCTGCCATGGAAGCCGCTGGACTGGAAGACACACAGTCATGACTACAATTTTGGAGATATCACTGCCTGGCCACTGGATGCCAGCTGCATTACCTTGGGAGGGGATGCCATCTTCCTCGGTAGTGTCAAAGCGGCTGTCAACATTGAAGCGGTGGAGGTGGAGTACACGACAAAGATCTCCCATGTCGTGACCCTGTGTGGGAACGAGATCCAGGTGCGCGGCGCGCCGTCAGATTTGCCCACCTATTTTGAACGTTGTGGCGTCGCTCATATCTGGTGGTTCATCGAGGATCCCACAGTCAAAGACCCAAATACAGAGCTGGCGAAGCATCGTCAGTCTGCCGGTGAATGTTTAGCTTTCTGGAAAGATTTGATGCATGTTCTTTGGGATGTGGCCTCCTACTACTGGAACCACGACATCAGGTTTACGCCTTTGTTTCATTGCTTTGGAGGCATCAATCGCAGTACCGCCGCGCTTTGCGCCTGGCTGGTGATCTGGTGGGATCTCAGTGTCGAGGATGCCATTGACTGTGTGCTCCAGCAGCGTCCAAGCCTGAGACCGTGGAAGCGACGAGCATATGTCTTGTATGCACTGCGATCCTTGGAGCATCACAAGCATGCCTGGCGTTGGGAATTTGAAACGTCGTGACCAAAGTGTCGACAAAAAGCTGTGAATTCGTGGCCAAACTGGCTAGAAGGACCTGGGTCCACGACCGGAAGTTGTTCGAAGTCGGCCCTTGTTCCGACTGAATGTGCAGAGACCCCATGAGGAACGGGATCCACGACCGAGAGTTGTTCGAAGTCGATACTGTTCCGACTGGGTGCGCGAATATACCTGATAACCGATAAAATTGTGCAAACAGAGCTCTATAGACATCTTTTTTTTGTTCGATTGTTGGACTTGAATGATATTCTTTGCTTGTTGTGATTTGACCTGAAAGACCAGTTTCGTTTCCAGAGACATTGAGTCTTTTGAACAGGTTGAGCGGCAACAAGTGGGACCAAATGAAAGTGGACACCACGCAATGGAATTCCAGGAGGCCGGCATGTCGATGCCACATATAGTCACCAGCCACGAAGTTACAAGTATCGGCGAAAAGCTGTGAATTGGCTATTGCAAAGTGTCGTGACCAAACTGATTAGAAGGACCTGGGTCCACGACCGGAAGTTGTCCGAAGTCGACCCTTGTTCCAGCTGAACGTGCAGAGACTCCACAAGGCACGAGATCCACGACCGAGAGTTGTTCGAAGTCGATCCTGTTCCGACTGGGTGTGCAACTATATCTGATAACCGACAAAACAACATGAGTTGAACTGTGGGTAATTTGTTTTGTTTTTCAAGTGTTGCATTTGTATGAGCATTGGTTGTCCTGATGCCAGGTTGGGACGTGCGATTTCGCGCACTTCGGCGGCTCTTACTACCGGGACTAGCGTTTGAGCTCGACCGGCGCTGGATAAAAAAGAATCGACCGGGACTACCGTTTTGGCTCCGAAGTACAGTGCAACAGAATATACATTAATAGATTTGGTAATAACGTGATAATAGTATCATAATCATAATGTATATATATATATATAGATATATATATATATTATATATTGTGTCATCTCATCATCATCTCATTTTGTTTCATCTTAATGTTTTGAATCATCATATATCATCTCTTCATTTCTTTAGTGCTCATTCATCTTCTGTTACTTCGCTTTTCTTCCCTTCTATTTGTTCTCTTCCGCCTACTTGCTTTCGGGCCACCCTGTCGTCTAGTTTTTGTAGTGGAAGAATCATATGTACTTACAATTATACACACCTTAGAACCTTCCTGGATTCCTTCACATCTGTGGAGCCAGAAAGACCGCTGGAAGTCACAGAACTGGCGGCATGGAGGCGGAGCGATGCCAATGGGTTTCTGCGCAGAAACTGCGATCGCTGGAGCCCTTCGATTCTGTGTGGTGGCCGATCTGATCTGCACACACAGTTGCTCAGTTGCTCCCTTCCTTCCAGCTGGTGGCATATGGTCCCCAAGGATTGTAGAGAATTTCTCCGGCTTCGGATTAAACATAACAAAAACATACAAAAGCGAATGATTCGATGCCAGGGCCGCCTAAGGGATGTCAAAACAAAATGCACCTTATAAGGGATGTCCATTCACCACCCCGCCCTGGTACCCGCCACTGAAACTACGGAGAGTCCCCACTTCTCACTTCTCACCCGTGAGGTGGCGATCTGAGCTCCAGCAGACTCAGAAAACACAACACAAAACATCCTTCACATGCCCCTGCAGGTCAGTTTGACCTCAATTTTCCTGGAGTTCATCATGAAAGAAAGAAACGCGACTACGGAATGAGCTCAAAGGGCAGAGTTTTCCTGGATCAGACTGGACCTGTCGGGGTGCCCCACTCGCCCCGTCCGAACCTGAAATCACTGAAATCCCTCCGAAGCTCCGGCTTCGTCGGGCTCCACTCATACCCAATCGGTGGTTTACACTGTCTTCGTGTCCCAGCGGAGTTTGCACCGGAAGCACCGCGCTTAGCACTGTCCAAACGCTTCGCTCTTCGCTCACTTTCCGTCCACCGTCTCAGGACTTCCCCGACGACGGAGCGGCGGGTCACTTTTCCTCACCGGCTCCAATCCGAGATCGTAGTCACTGGCTCTCCTGCCCAGGTTGGCCGAGCCGGAACATTCGCATTGAAATGAAGTGGATCACCGGTGTGATCACGGATACAGTACGGGATTCCAAGCATGATTTCTTGCGGTTGCTGTTGCTGACCCCCCCCAACCTGCGTAGGTGGTAGCCAATTAGCCACCATATTACAATAATTATTATATAGTCACTATAGTCCATTTTGCCTCTTCTTCGTGGTCTTTGGGGAGCCTCCCCACTTCAATACACACCCACTGTCTTCGTCAGCGATTCCAGGCGATGATGTGGCAACCTTCCAGCCTCGGGGAGCAGCTCGAAAGGCAGCTCGAAAGTGCCTGGACGAGGTGCGGAGGAGTTCGTCGCAGTCACGAGGATCGAACCACACGGGACTGGGACACTGCGGGGATCCAACCGGAATCCAACCGATTCCAACGGCTGTGCCGCTTTCGAGGATCTCTCCGATCTCTCCGACAGAACATCCGTTTTTTTCCATGGCTACATATTGCCACATAAACGTACCACATCATGCCGTACATTTTGCATATCTGAAAATCAAACCTATATACTGTATAATCCATATGCTACATAGCCCCCCCTGAAGGCTCGCGGCCAACCCCTCAGAATCCGCTTCGACCGCCCCACACCCGTCTTCGACGGAATCCCAAAAGCATCTCGGCCGAGTCAACACCGAGTGGAAACCAATCCCAGGTCCCCCAAATACACCAGAGCTTACACATAGATCAAAATCAAAGGTATCCTCTGATATCAAATATTAGAAGCATGCGACGTATATTACATGATCATTCTTATCATTCATGACCCCCGAAGGACGAAATACACCCACGACCGGCACGACCGGCACCAGTGAAGGTGACACTCCAACCTTCACACTTCGCATGGCAGAAAACCCATGAAATACACCCCCTTGGTACGTCAAGAAGCCAGACTCATCCAAACAAATGCTCCATGGTCTTGTCCACGTACACCGGGGTCCCTCCGAGCCGCCCTGGGGTCCCTCCGAGCTGTGGCCCGAAGGAGTCGCACGACACCCGAGTCGTCTCATGCGGATGCGAGGGGCTGCTCCAGCTGGGCGTGCGTCGGCGCCTCGAAGCGGCGCCTGGAAGCAGGACGGCAGGCGCCGGTGCGGGTTCGGTGCTGGTTTCGGTGCGCCGCGCCGGGCGGAGACGAAAAGAAATGGGTACATCACTACTACCTTAAGCCCCGGGGGCAGTCAGGCACGCAAGGGGGTACGTAGTGATGTGGGCACACTCCATGGGAAAAAAGACACCGGAGTTCAGTATGAGGATTTCATGGTCTGGACTCGGGGCCATGCCATCCACGTCACCATTTAACCATGATGATTTCGGGGAGTGTAAACCTACAACATATATGATCATACAACATTGCCCATAACCATACATAACCAAGCCCCCAGAAAAAAGCCGATCGATCACAACACCACCATCATAACCAATCCAATTCCAAGCACTCCCCCCCCCAGGGGACTGAATTGGCGCCCGGCTGGACCCGTCGAACCCGACAAGCCCTCATGGCCCCGCACACGAAGTCCTCCAAAGGAAGCACCAGGCCTTGAAAGGCCAGCATCCACTGTACGGAAGAATGTGGATCTGTCTTGGATCAAGAAGGGGAGAAGTAGCAGTTGACTGGAAGCGTACCCAGCTTTTCGCTAGCCAAGCAGGTGGGGACTGAATTCTGAAGTAATGACCCGGACCTCCCTTCAAGATCCTTCAAGTCCTTAAATCATCTCAAATCCTCAAATCCTAAATCCTCAACTACATCAACTTCTTCAATCCCTCAGCTGCCGAACTTGTCTGCCTACCTACCCTCCACGACCCTCCGACCACGCAGAGAGGCCGCGACCCCTCCCAACCTTGCCATGTGCGGCGCCTTGGGCCAGCCTCGACAGCCAGAAATCGCTGGAAGGATCTGCTGCGCATGGGGAGGAGGAAGACAGGTGTCCTGTTTGAAGATCCAGTCGGACCTAGTGAGTTTGGGTAGTCCAGCTGATCCAGCTTCGACGGTCCAGTCGGCAGCACTCCCCCAGCTTCGAGGATCCCATGCACCCTGAGAATTCACCTGATTTCGACCATGTTCCGCAAACTGCCCAGTGTTTTGGGATGCTTCGACAGTGCTCGGCGCTTGCTTCGTGGATTCTTTTTTTTTTGGGGGGGGGGGTTCCGATCGAAGGTCCAGTTCACCTACAAGTTCCTTCCTGGCTGAAGCAACAAGACCGTCTGCCGCACCCCTAAATACACTGTTTTATCAAACCGCGACGACGAGGATCATGTCCAGGGGTATTTGGCATCGAATCCGGCTTCGACTCCTGCCGCGACAAATGCGCAGGTGAAATCCAGATATGTTCGGATCAATTAGGTAGTTGTTTAACCAACCCCGCACATAAACAGCCATCACAAAAAATGCGCCAAAACTTGATTTGGTTCACTCAAGATCCTGGGATATCCTGTGTATCTTCAATGACTCTCGCCCAAGACCAGCCTGGCAAAGCTGCACCAGCACAGCGCCGGCCTAGCCGGGTTGAACTCGATTGACCTGCCCAGGAACCTCTGCTTTCCACGGAGCCCCTTCATTTTGGGACGATGAGGCCATTCCCACTTTGGCTTTGCACATGTTCAGCCAAAAAGGCGCCTTACAGCTTACACAATTGCACCAGACACCAAACTTTAAACTTTAAAGTGTCTCATCGCTCTTGGGGGCCATCGCTAGGTTCCAAACTTCAAATTCTAAGGTGTCTTGTAGTTTCTTCCATCTGTGTCCTGACCGACTCCCGACGGCGTGCACCCCCGGTGTTTTCCAGCCATCTGCGACGAAGCACTCTCACTCGGGCCAGCGAATGGGGCCATGCGCTGTTCAGGCAAGAAGGGCCATGCAGACAACGAAGGGAAAGCGATGGAACCCGTTTCAAAGCCCCAGCCAAAGGCCTCGGACCTATCAATGGAATGGTTAAATCACGGTTTTCACCCCCAAAACTACGGGTTCTTTGTGAGTGGTGCCTTGAACTAATTCTGAGAACCTAGCCAAGTGTTCGCACTGCTTATAGGCAACAATACTGTTGAAGGACGAATGCAGCACTACACCAGGGAGATTCACAAAGCTCGTGAAGAGGGGTTATCATGTATGATCCAAATGTTGGGTGGTGCAGGATGTCTTGCATCAAGAGTGTGCTTCGGCTTGAGGGGATCTGTTCTAGAATCGGCTACGCATGGTCATTGGTTGAAAATTAGTCATATTAATATGTACACAAGCCTCCAGAATAAAGGTGATTCCAAAAGTTCTGCAGTACATACTTCTGTGACTTCTGTGCATGTCCTCAAGCTCTTGGGGCAAAACCCAGGGTTGTCGCGCCCTTCCCTCGCGGATTTTGTGTTAACAAACCGCGAACGATTTGTGTTTCGCCTACGATGCCAGAGCCAAGTGCCCCAGCGGCGCAGGCACGTGGATAAGAAGAGCAAAGCAGCGGTTCCATGCCTCTTCTCCGAAGAAAGTCCAGAAATCAAACTACACCAAACACTCGTGAACCCTATAGAACTCAATATCCAAGAGCCGTCCAACATCTTAGAAGGTGACGTTCGGATAGGCGGAATCCACCGCTCAACGTCGAAATCGCCCCCCTTCAGGGGGCGATCCACCGAAAGCCGCCCGACAGCAGCTCCCGACGTCGATCTACGCTCACGTCCGGCGCGCGCGCGCGCGCGCACGTCCGGCGTCTCCGCCGTGAAGCGACGCTCGGAGAAGGCCTGGTTCTGCTGCGATGGCCGGTGCCGGATTTCCAATTTGGAGCACCGAAACTGGCGAATCGGCCGAGTGGAAGGTGCCGGGTTCTGCCTTCTCTCCTTCACGGTTCTGGGTCCCTGGAATCTGGAACAGATCGGGTCATCGAAGACTCAGTCAATCGTAAAGCTCAGTAGAATGGCCCTTCTCTGAGGCGTGGATGTTATTGAAGCTCCCAAAGTCCCAACGTTCAATGGGCTCTCTGGCCCGCTCGAATGAACCCCCGAATGACCAACCCTAACCCACCAACAGCGCGCTGTCGTTCATCCAACTCCGGTGGTTACTCGATCTTGCCGCGCCTTAGACACCAAAGAAGGCCCAAACCACCACCAGCGACGCTAAGGCCGCTAGGCTGTTGAACGACCAGCGCGCACTGGAGATTTCCCCCCTGACCCTCAAAGACCGTGGTCGTGGGCGGAGACCAGGTGTAGTTGGGATCCACCGTGCAGTTGGGAAGCCTCAGAAAAGAGGCCGGGGACTGGTCGAAAGCGACCGATATTCAGTAGGAACTCGACCGGGGTGGAAAGAAGTTCCTTAGAATGCTCCAGCAGGATGATGCAGGATGAATTGAAGCCCAAAACTATATAAATAGAAAGGAGGCGTGAAGTGCCCCCACTCTGTGCAGTGGACTCCGATGTTGGCTAAATCCAAACATGCAGCGGAGTTCGGTGCAAAGCGTCACCTGAGGACGCCTGCCACGCTTCTGAGTCTTGAGGATTGGCATATGATGATTGACCCCGATATTTGATTGATTGAAAAGATTGATTGATTGACTGATTGAATGAATGAATAATTGCTTGCTTGCTATTGCTTTGCTTTGCTTTGTTTTGCTTTGCCTTGCTGTGCCTTGCTTTGCCTTGCTTTGCTTTACCTTGCTTTGCCTTGCTTGCTTGCTTGCTTGCTTGCTCGATTCATTGATTAATTCATACACTATTGAAATATATAGTTGCTTAGTATAAATGTTTTACTTATTTGTGTGTGTGCGTACATGTAGGCCATACCATACCAATATAATCTACGTATATATATATATAATGTATATAATCTACGTATATATATATATATGTACATTATATATCTATATATGTATGTGTACGAGACACGTGTGAATATGTGTGTGTGGTCGAAGCTCCAGCCCACCCCACCGCCTCACCCACCGAGAAGCACGAAGATCTGCTGGTGCCTGCTGTAGCTCGGCTCGAAGAACTCCGTCTGCCGCTCATCGTGACCCACCCAGACGGAGCCATAGCGCCAATAGCACTCCTTTCAAAGGCCAGGGACGCGTCGCTGCCCCCCAAACCCGGTGGGAACTCGACCCCATAGTACGACCCGTTTCCTCTGCAAACAGGTGGCGTTCACCTCATGTAGACTTTCCAGGCCGGAAGCGGTTCGACCATCCAAATGGAGGGAGTCCTATATTCATCAAGAGTCACCATCTCAGTAGAGAGATTGGTGAAGAGGACATCGTCTGAAGAGTTGAGACTTCAAAATCCACAAATCGTCTGGCACAAATCGTCTGAGTTGCGACCTTGCCTAACACGCCCAAACCGATGAAAGAAATCCAGTGATCCGGCATTCTGCCACAAAAATCCGATCTGGCCGCTGCCTGAACCCACCCCATTCCCACAAAAATGTTGGCAAGGATCCGCAATGTTGAACTGCGTCAGAATAAAGCGCTCCTGACCAAATGCTTCGCTCCATGGAGCGGGACGGGACTGGAGCGGATCCCCCCCCCCAGACCTGGCTGCATCCGGCAAGTCGTTGATTTCTGTAGCCCTCCACATGGGTGGGTCTTAGACTTTGACACGAAGACACCCACTCTTTGACCCTTTTAGGATCTTTTCGGTCTGGCAGAAGATCCCCCTCTCAAACGCATCGAGTCTGAGACCGCTCTTCAGACTTTCCAGCAGGTTCTGCTCGCGCCCCTATTATTTCCCCAATCCAGTGACCTGCTTGGGATCTATGAAGTTTATCTATATAAATGCCTTCAACATCCCTCAACCTGCAAAGTGAAAAGGTCAATGTGAAGAATCTGCAAGTCCTTTTCTCCTCGATGTGTCCTCTGATTTTGGCGTATCTGTCTTTCCCTTTCTGCCCAGCGGCATACTCTGCCGCCCAGTTGAGGACCAGCGGAATGGGCTCGCCCCACGCGTTGTAGATGGGCGTGTTGGAGGTTTGTCCGTCCGTGCGCTCCCGGGAGTCCCGCACGTATTCTCAGTGCGGGCGGGCCAACCGCGGTTCCGCCGCCGGGGCGAAGAACGGACCGAACTGGAAAAGCGGCGAGATTTCGGAAGTGGGACTCGATTGAGGGGTGATTGGTGTTTTGGATGTTTGAGGGGGTGCATCCCAGGCGACGTGAGCCACTCTGTTGCAACGGGCTTGTCTATACTTCACTTGGTCATTTTGGTTGAGCTGCTTCGGGCCATAGAGGGGCTCTCCATTGAATCGGTTGTGCAACAAATGTAATCGCACCAAACGCTGCAGTTGGAGTCCCAAAAAGGAGCCGTGTCATTATTTGTAGAAGTCTAAGACACGGCACGCGCAAGCTAACAGACACGATTTCCAATGCAACATCTTTCTGAAGGATTGATCCCAGCGTGCTGGAGCTCCCCTGCTTTCATGCTCGAGACCGCTCCCCCCATGCTCATCTCTTCCCAGCATCCTTTCATGCCACCCTGGGGATGCAAATGCCCCTGGAAGACTGCGATGGTGCGGGAGCCCGTCATCACTTTGGAGTAATAGTCGTAACGCTCCACCTACGGTCGCACAATCCGGCGGGTTTTGGGCGGAAACGTTCCGGTGAAATGCCTTGGCAGCGGGCGAGGCCCGTGGAGAGGTGACCTTCTGGTGGCCTTGTAGTGAAAAACTATGAAATTCTCGGATGCCCGGTGGTGCTTGCTGTAGAAATATTATATATATATACATGTGTGTGTGTGCGTGTGCGTGTGCTTTGTAATTTGCATGGTTTATGGTCATACGTTTCTTCCCCACAGATGACAGGAAGTCTCTCTCTTCCATGTTCCGTACCTACCACATTCCCTCTTGTGTATCATGAACGAGTCGCCGCGTAGATGTAGACTCTTGAAGTAACCCTGCCGGACATGGATAGTACAACCTCTTCACATGAGGGGTTGAAAAAAAATCAGGTCCACATACCATCGGCCCTCGACCTTGAAAAAGAAAGGTTATTTCTGGTGACTATAGTCCTTAGCCATTAGATGTTACACAGTGGATGTTGAGGAAGATTGAAGCTCGCCCCTCAGGCGAAGTCACGCCCAGGCCGACCAAGGCCTGCTTGAACCAGTGCTGGTAGCCGAAATGGTTGGTTCCGTCATGCATCACGAGCACCAAGTACTCATCGTTCTGCTCGGCCAATGCAATCTGAAGGGAGAAGCGACACAACCATCAAGCTGAAATGCAAAATCAATCCAGAAAAATTGACCTGAAACAACCGCTGTCTTTGAGGGGCTGGCATCATCTACAAGCGTGTTTCCCTGGACTGGTTCCATATAGTTTCAATTTTCAGGTTGTCAGAGGCCTAAAAAGGTCTACCTTGGAAATCACTCAACTCTCCAGCCGCACTTGTTCAGATCCGCCACTATATACTTCGTGCTGGTCGAGCCTGATCCTCCAGAAAGCCCATGGTGGAGGCCACACCCACCAGCTCTTCACGACGGTAGGTGGGATAATTGTGCCTCGATTTTCGCACAACTGTGCCAATCTAGAAGGAGATCGGC